TCGAAGCTAAAAATAAGACTAAAGCTTCTCATATACAAGGTCATTATAAAACCCCGATGGACATATGGAATCTCGATCTGGGGCACCACTAACGCCACCAATCGTGATCTCATTCAACGCTTCCAAAGCAAAGCCCTGAGACTGATCTCTGACGCCAACATCTACACCACTAATGTGGAACTACACGAAGTGCTTGGCGTCCCTTTTGTAAAGGACGAAGTGGGCAAACTGTCAACCAACTACCTGTCACGTCTGGACAGGCACACCAACCCTCTAGCGATCAACCTACTAGACAATAGCGCCAAAACCAGAAGACTGAGAAGACACCATCCGCTAGACCTCCCGCAAATTGCGGATCAGTAAATCATAGTTCCCCGTTCCCCACACACATACGTGTTGTAATACCGCTACTTTTAGCCCCCGCCATTGTTCACTTTTTGTAACCCCCCTTTAGAGCTTGCCAAACAACTTACTGATTGTCCAAAAGGACAGATTGTAAATAAACTAATAGAGAAAAAAAAACTTTGTCACCGTAATTACATAAAAGAACCACACATATGTAAGTGCATGTAATATGATCAACCATTTAAAATATATGTACATACATATGTACGTAATGATTTATAAAGAAAGTACATCCTCAAGAAAAATTATTACAATTAGTATATACATATGCATACATACATATATACATACACATATGGTCAAATGAATAGGTGTGAAATTTTTTTTGTTTTTAAATGGTGATAACGTCTATTCTTTTTTTAAATTATTTGAAAAATTTAGCTGGAACTTAAAAATAGACATCTTAGAATAATAAAAACAAAAAATTTTAAAATTACGTTGACATCATTTTGGCATACAAAATACTCAAAATCAGCATCTAAGCAAGACTTAACAGACGGTGAAGTCTTAACGCGACCAATGTGCTCAAGTTCTGAAGAGCAAGCAATAAGCGAAAGAAATTTTAAATTCACTCAGTCCGTCAGCTGAAATTGAGTTTTCTGCGGCGCTTAGATTGCTACAAGTATAGCTTTGGCCAATGCGCGCCTTCGCCTAGCATTTATTACTTTTCCTCATTAGAACCCCAATCAATGAGCTTGCATATTTGTAAACTATAAATAGACAAAACTAAATATATAAGCACTTTAATGCATTTATTCTGACAATTAATTTAACAGCATTCGACAAATTTATTCTTCGAATTTCGGCGCTGCACTCTTCGTCTTAGAATAATCTCTTATGGGAGAGTAAAACTGAAAGTAGTCAAAGCAAAAGAAAAAAAAATCATTGAAGTATTAAATCTAGTAAATAAACTGATATATGAATGCTGATTGAATTTAGTACCTTGTATTGCTTATCCTTATATTCTTGCCATGGTTCTGGATTGGATGAGCGATTCCATGTAACATCCGGATTCCTTGTAGCTAAGCGAGTCATATAATAAACGGCTCCAATCGCTCCAGCAGCCACGCAAACGTATAGCGGAATCAACTACATAATAATAGAAAATGAAAAAATTCCGTCCAACTTAACATGGTTATGTAATGTATGAAGAAAATGAAATAACTTACCGCTGGGTTCTTTTTAAGACTTTGTAATCCGAGCCCCTGCATGATATACGTGTACTAGTTAAAAATAAATATTTACAAAATGTGTATTAAATTAAACCAATTAGCTTACAAATTTTATTTTAACCAACTGTGCACAATATTAACTGTCGTACTGAGTGTTAGAGCTGGGCAACAATCGATGACACTGTTTGAGGTTTTTTTTACATCTCTGTAGAGGTGGAGAACAATCGATGTCACTATCGAAACTATTGAATTTGGGGCACAATCGAGCTATCAATATATCGATGGTAAAATAAAGCGATAGCTATAGATTTTTTGGTTTCCCATAAGTTAAATACATTTTGGCGCGTTCTTCAATTTGAGCGTAATAAGCTTAGTTATTACAAGGTCACTCTACAATTTACTGTGTTATAAGCATAAGCTTGATATATGCATGTGTTCTTTAGCAATGTCTCTTATTGAATGATATTTGGTTCTCTTAGCTAAAGGCGGCAGAGCAGCCGTTTTATACATACATATATGTGTAAGACGGGCAGAGAGTGTGAGTTATGCATGCACATACATATGTATATTAGCGGTTAGTATGGGAAACATGGTGAATCGGCTCTAAGCGATGATAGCAATGAGTGCATATCATATTACCACTAACCAGAGAGCTCTCTGGTTAGTGATATTACGTTTGCACTTGAAATGTGTGCGGGACTTGGCACGCTGTCGCTGAGTGACAAAGGCAATGTCCTATGCATATCCGGCTAGCAAAGTGTTGCCGCTCAATATTTATGTTGAGTAATCAGAACTCGTATGTGCATACACTACATCTCCCTCCTTTTGAAAAATAACGTAATTTATTTTTTTTATTTATTTATTATTATTTTTTTGTTTTTTTTTTTTTTTTTTTTTTTTTTTTTTTTT